ACTTACTTCTTTTTAACTTAACATTCAGGATTTCCAACAGTGTTATACAAAACTAGCACCTGCAACTTTACAGAAGAATAAATCAGAAGGTATGGAGAAGTGGTGTAAGTAAGTGGAATTAAAAGTTTGCTACCCATCCACTGTTTTAGCTTCTACTGAGTCAACATTAGAACCATGTGTGAAAAATTAGGTTTCTATCTTAACAAAATGGTTTTCCCCATCCCTAAAGGTTTTATTTTGTTTTTTGTAATGTAAGTGACAGTATATAAGAAATGATCCATAAGAAACTACCACAAGTCATTAGATTTTCTTTTTTATTATGATTAAACTGGATATCACCAAAAAACCTTCAGTCCAAAGTAAAATGACCCACAGGTAAAAATCTCCTTAGTAATAAATCTATGTACCTTTTGAGTGCCAACATATCAAAATCATCAAAGAAAACGACAGACGTAATATAAAACTATTTTGAAAGTTTCTGAACTTACTCTCTCCACCCGGCTCCACCCCCAAATATGCTATTCTCCACATAAATGCTGTCTCTTCAATTTGGACAAAAGGCATCCCTATTTCAACTTCCCCTCCGCCATCTAGAAAAGAAAAAATAGGAAAGGGGGAAAGGGGGGGAGTTGTGTACATTCATCGTCAAGGGCATCCTACTCCTTTCCTATTTCCATCACAAGAATGTTAATAAGAGCCAAGTGAAGTAGAGTGGGAAATACACTAAATAAAGAACTCTTCTCTTACCCATATTCTTTCAGACATACCACTGATTCAAATGGACTGAAAATATCCCAGTAATTTGTAATGGTCACATTTTTCATACTAGTTTCGTTCACTTAAAAAAATGTCATTTGTGCTCTCAACCCTAGGATGAATGGGTTTTAGGGTAAGAACTGCAGGGAATGAAGGCTAGTGTATCTATGACTCAAGAGACAGTACACCTGCAGGGAGATCCTTCTCTCAAAGCTGCTGGACTCCTTGAAGCCACAGATGACAGGAGCAGGCAACTAGTCCTGGCCCAAATGAGACCTGGAAAATATTCCAGAAGCCCAGATTCTGGCACTGAAGCTTTCCCAGGTAAAATTATTTCTACAACTTGAAATACGTTGGCAGAAAAAAAGTAAATATTACCTCCTTAAGGGAAAAATTAGCATTTAACTTTCCAGGTAAGTGCCAGGTAAACAATAATTTATAGAATAATGTCTTGAATTTAAATTTATGGTGTGAAAAAGAGGATGTAAACAGGAAGGAGGTACAAGTAATGTTAAATAGCTTACATTTTTTCTGTAGAAACAGTCTGTAAGGTACCTACCAAA